CTTTTATTCACCATTATATGCATCGATATGACTTAAGTTTTGGCCAAGCTGGGTTGCCTGGCTCCTGTGCTTACCCCTACGTTCCCAATTGTTCGGCTAGGAGGTAAAGGGAGCACCTCTGCGATTATTACTGCCGGGTCAGCCGGATGTGTACCTCAGACTGGGTGAAGCCGAAAGCTAGCGTTCTTAAGGGAATATTCGGCCGGTGACTTGAAAGATGATTTTTTACCTACTTATTTATCTGTCCCCAGATGTTTTTCTGCTTTTTTCGCAGTCCGGACATGCACTTTAGGGCATGCCACCCCCAGAGGAAAGGAACCCTTAACGGAACTATTCTCCCTGGAAGATGTTTCTTACTAACCATGTAATATAACATAACTAGTTGGGCACTTGTTTGATAAAGCACTAATGACCCCTATGCCTGGTCTCCATGCATACCCCAGTTGTTTCATAACCGAGAAGGTATTCGGACACACTCCGGACCCTAGGGTCCCGAGGTCGAAGCAAAAAGGTCGGCAAAGACAAACGATCTACAATCCGGCTAGAAGGCATTTTACATGTCATTTTATAATACATTGTCAAATCGACTGACTGTATTCTTCCTCAATCCCGTCTAATAGGCTGTCTAATTTACAGTCCTGTTGGGAAAATTTAGCGGCCATCTCTACTTGGCCGTATACTAAACTCACAGGGATCTCCTTCCTATCGGGCCCCACAGGTCCGACCTCGGCCATGTGGTTGGGATCCGCCTTCTTGTACCGCGTCTTTACCATGGCCCAGGCCTCCATGGCACCTTGGCGGCAGGCTGAAATCTTCCATAAATGGAAGCGCTGCCGCACTCCCTGAAGCTTCTCCGCAAGCTCCCCAAGGCCCTCGGGTAAGGAGAAGGCTGGCCATAAAGCCTGGATGACGCCGCTCATTGCCTGCCAAACTCGTTCGATCAGTTGCAACAATTCGGGAAGTTGATCACCCGTTGATACGGGCATCTCCTCCGCTGGGCGACCTATGAGTATACCTACAGACATATTTTGTCAAATTGACTTCCTCGCCGAACTCTTCTTTTCAAAGGAGTTCGCTCAAGCACTTACTATAGATGCCGCGACGAAGCCGTTGATTCTCCTTAACGGAGCCAGACAGCTCGGCCCGAACGCCTTTCAACTCTTCTCCAAGCTGGGCATGGGCATCCTGGAGCTTGTTCCTTTTGTGCTGCACCTTATGCAACACCCTCTCGCCGGCCTTCAGCTGGCGCAGAAGTTCTTGCCTGTTCGGATCTTGTCCGGCGGCACCTGCAACGTCATTATCAGACTTGCGCACAGGCCACACACTACTTATATTTTTTAAAATAATGTGTTACCAGGAGAGGTCCCTGTGTTTCCTCCTGTGGCAGCGAGTGCGGCCTCAAGTTGGGCCTTACACTCTTGCAGCTCCTGAGACAGTTGGGTATTCTTCTTTGTAAGATCCTGCAGTTCAAATGATCCTTAAATCAGTTAATACAACTACTTTAAGTCTCGGGGGCTACTGGCATATACAACTATTAAAATCTCTTACCCGTATGTCTTTTACATACTGCTCCGTGGCTCTGGTCAAACCATCTTGAGCGGCACGGAGGTGCGCGTCCCCTGTGTTAAAGGCATTCAACGCCTCAGGGGAGAAGCACGCGTCACGAAAAATTGTCCGGCGGCGCCTGTGATTCATGGCACTCTCCACCTCAGATTTGGTGGCGGACAGTCTGTCGGCATCCTCCGTTGGAGGTGTATCCGGCTCGCGCCTTGCGCTCGCCTCCCTCTCCGGACCATGCACTAGAGCTTGGCTGGTAGAGGCCGGATTGGCAATCTCTACGCCCGCAGTCCGGCGGGCGCTCTTTCTCCTATAAAAGCCATGAGCACTCAAACGCTTCCTAGGAACGTTGCTCCAAATAATGAATTGTGAGCTATACCTTTGCTGCGACGTTTCAGTCCGCGCCGCGCTCCTCTTCCGCCTACTGGTCTGGACTGGCCTTTGTTGGTCAGCCGCCGCGGGCTCGGCTTCCCGCCCTAGAGGCGCCTCCTGCACAGCGCCATCGTAAAGGGTGGTCAGAAATAAGCAAGGAAGGAATGACGGTGTCAGGACTTCGGTCACAATCACCTGGGAAGCTGGATATAGTCCGGGATAGTCGGCCATAATGGCGACTAAAGCATTATCCATGCTGAGCTGGTGGAATACCCCGTCGATTAGCTCCACCTTTATGTCCGGATCCTCTTCGGAGGCCGGATCTCGGGATCTCTCTGGATCCTCGGGTTGCGGAGCTGGACTTAGCATGTCCTCCACGACCCGACGCAGCTCCTGCATCGAAAGAAGAACACAATATAAGAAACTTAAGTTTCAAAGGCATGGGTTGGACACGCGGAGTGTTCGCTTACCCAAGGCCGGGGATTATTCATGGAGAACCCATTTAACGGGTTCGTCCGAAGGAAATCCTCCTTCTCCCCCTTATACAGGCCGGACAGGATCTTCACCAGGTCTTCGGCCGAATCCGGCCCTTTGCGGCCATGACGGGTGGCATCGTCCTCCCCGTTGAAATCCCACATGGGGTGGCCCCTGTATTGTAGTGGCTGCACCCCCCGCATAATGCATGTTGCCATGACTCCAATCATGGTCAACCCGGAATGGGCCAGTAACCTTATCCGGCCCATCAAATAATGGACGCTCTTGTCTTCCTCCAGTTGGGGGCTCCGCGGACGCCAACTAAGGCGTTTCTTCAGAGGAGCATTGCTGAACTCCGGGAGGCCGATCCGAACAGGGTCCGGCAGCGGAGCGTCTTCTATATAAAACCATTCCGAAGGCCAGTCTTCGGACACCTTCTTAGGGGTTCCGGATGGATATCCGGTCCCGGCAATGCGCCATATTTCGGCGCCGCCCACTTGATATATGGACCCCTCGTGAGAGCGGGGTACAAGGCAGAACAACCTCTTCCACATCATGAAATGGGGCTTGACGCCCAGGAATAGCTCGCAAAGAGCTACGTAACCCGCAATATGCAGGATCGAGGCGTGCGTGAGGTGATGAAGCTGGAGCCCGTAGAACTCCAGGAGCCCGCGGAGGAATGGATGTACAGGAAATCCGAGCCCCCTTATCAGATAGGGGACGAAGCATACCCGCTCCCCTTTGTTGGGACTTGGGGTAGCCTCCGCTTGCTTCCCACCTTTGTAGGTGGCTAGCCCGGCTCGAACTGGAACCATGAAGGCCGGAGGAAGATATCCCCCCGCTTGGAGCTTCACCAGCTCGTTGTGCGGAACAGAGCATCTCCTCCAATCTCCTGGCAGAGGGCTGGGAGCGCGAGAAGAGGAGCTGCGTTGACGGTCCATGATGGAATGGATTCTTGGTCGAAAGCGCTCCGATGAGTATTCGCGGAAGGAAGATGGTGACTTGGATCTGGATTCTTGCCTCTCTTATAGGCAGATTATTCACACAACTAGGGGGTAAGACATAAAAGACACCCTGGCTTTTCGCATTCGTGCGACGCGTGGAAGAAGGCCATTATTGGGCGTGGAAGCCAAGAAGCACAACATTGATGAGGAAGCCGGACACTGTTCGGCAAGTACATGGAACTTGAAGGAGAACCCGCCTTGCAACGCCGAAGACTACACACATGCTGGACTTATCGTCATTGAAGCCTGGTTCGGGGGCTACTGAGGGAGTCCTGGATTAGGGGGTGTCCGGATAGCCGGATTACCATCATCGGCCGAACTATCATCGGCCGGACTATCATCATCGACCGGACTCCAAGACTATGAAGATACAAGATTGAAGACTTCGTCCCGTGTCCGGAGGGGACTTTCCTTGGCGTGGAAGGCAAGCCTGGCGATACGGATATGTAGATCTCCTACCATTGTAACCGACTCTATGTAACCCTAGCCCTCTCCGGTGTCTATATAAATCGGATGGCTCTAGTCCGTAGGACACAATAACATCAACCCTTACAATCATACCATAGGCTAGCTTCTAGGGTTTAGCCTCCTTGATCTCGTGGTAGATCTACTCTTGTAAACATCCACAATATCAATATCAATCAAGCAGGACGTAGGGTTTTACCTCCATCAAGAGGGCCCGAACCTGGGTAAAACATCGTGTCCCTTGTCTCCTGTTAACATCCGCCTAGACGCACAGTTCGGGACCCCCTACCCGAGATCCGCCGGTTTTGACACCGACAACCACCTCCCGAGCCGGATTAGCTTCTTTTTAGATTTGTTTGGGGCTTGTCCTGCTGTGCCCCCAGCGTGACTTTATGACTTGATTGTACTCTGTACTGATGTGTTGGATGCTCGGTTCGTTGCTTTATAATATAAAGCGGGGGGAAACCGTTTTCTTAAAGAGGAGAAAGCCACAATCTTCTGAAGAGAAAAGCCAAAAGTTGAAAGATGATATGAGCAGTAGCACCTTGACTGCTTCTTAGCACAATTATTAACAGATGATACTACAACTAAACATGGAAGAGGTTGGGACCATGCTGCTACTCCTGGTAAGCCTCAGCAGTTCGAGGGTGAGTTTGAAGGCTTGAAGCACTTAAAAAAGGGCAATCATGTATAAATTATAACCGAGTCAGGTCAGGACAAGCACAAGAGGTAAATTAAACAGCTACCAAGTTTTTGGGGAACACACCTTCCTTAAAAAGTGACAGCCCAACCAAAGCACAGGATACAGAAGTGGCTTAAAGAAGAATCACCAACACCAAGGTTCGCGGCATTTCTAATTGTTTTTTCTTAAGATCACTTTAATTAATTTGTGAGTTTGACATGCCAGTACTGTGTGGTCAGTGAGTGGATCTGGGAGAGAGGAGACCCTGAGACCCCTGCCTGTCTATAAATACAAGCTCCTGAGGCCAGTTCTTCTTAGGCTTTGCTTCCATTCTCCTTCACCTGCTCCACCTCCCATATATTTAGCACCAGCACTAGCATCTCCCACCGGGCCATCACTTGCTACTACCTCAGGAAACCCAGCTCACTTGGATCAGCATACAGATCATGAGGACTTCATTGATGGTCCTGGCCTCTCTCCTCCTCCTCCTGGTTCTGGTTACAACAGCACATGGTATGTTCCATCTCCATGCATGGCTGGCTAGCTTGGCACTCATCTATTGCTCTTGCATTTGGTGGCTCTTTTGGGGGTACCCTATGTCCTGGATCAGTGCTCACTGGAATGAATTTTCTTTCTCTGGAAATGCAGGGATTCGGCTGGACAGGCACCTGCATGAAGCACTGGACAACAAGGTCAGTGCCCTGTACTGTATATGATCAATGATCCTGATTGAATTCCTGATCCAGGCAGTTCTTCCTGCCTGAAACTGAAACTGAAGCAATTTTTGGTAAAGTTTTGCTCATTTCTTCTCTGCTTCCCTTGTGCATCCAGCAGGAACGACTGGCCGGGCAGCTAACCAAACCCAATGGCGCCGCTGATTCGGCAGGCAGCAAGCCCTGCACGGCCGATGGGAATTGCTCAGGTACAGCAATGGAGCAGACGCCTCATACTGCCATTGTTGTGAAGGATAGAGAGCACCACCAAGTGGTGGCTAGTGCGTACGCGCAGGCCGCCGTGCCGAGGTTCCACGAAGATTACTACGGGCCGGGCGGCCACGAACCTAATCACCACTAAGCCACTCGCTCGCTGAATTGAATATCCACCTCCACCTCCCTTTGCAGGGCGCAGCAGCTTACTGAGCCTAATGACCTTCGTGTGGTAGCAGTACCAGTTCAACTGTCCTAAACACTCTCCTAATGCTGCTGCTGCTGCGTACTTCTTGGTTTGGAGCTTGGGTGATGTAAAAGGAGAAGCATTAGCTAATGTTGTGTACTACCTGAAACCCTGAGCTTTTAGCTCTCTGCATAGTCAGTTTGGTTTTCTTTTCACCCGCTACTGCTGTGATCCCAAGTTCCCAGCATGTTCCTCTCTTTCTGTGGACGCATTGCATGCATTGGCATATGTGCGTGGCCCGTAGTTCCATTTCTGGTTCTGAGCAGCAACGGTACTACTATAGCACACACATGTCACATGCATGTCAGGATAGTAAAAACAAAAACACTAGTACTAGAAGATACTCATAATTAAAACCACGCCTGCCACGCACTAACATTTCGGACCTTCAACAGTACACACGACGCTGTAAATCATAGCTTAGACTTCGTGCATGTATATATAGTACTCCCACCGTTCCAAATTACTCGTCGTGGTTTTAGTTTGAACTAAAACCACGACGAGTAATTTGAAATGGAGGGAGTACAAGTCAAAAGCATGTAGGTTTACGTTGCAGCTTTAGCAGTATTTTAGCTTCCTTAAGTTGTGGCAGCAGCCTTAATCAATCTAACAGGGTCCTCTCTTTGGTGGGTGCAGGAAAGGCGAAAAAGCCACCGTCGCCGCACGCTCACGCCGAAACGGACGACGACGCATCAGCGAAGCATCAGGTCAGTGCAGTCGCAGCCGCACGCATTTCGTTCTCTTTCCCCCCGGATTTTCAGGCTCTGACCGGAATGGTTAATGCGTGTGTTTTCAGATACCCCCGAAGAGGAACGACGGCAACGCGCAGGTGACCAGCCACGGTGGCGATCAGGAGGAGCCGACGCTGCCGCAGAAGAAGAAATGGTCCCGCCGGGCGCTTCCGCGGCGGCCAAAGCAGCAGGAGACGAGGACGTACCCGGACCTGATCGACATCGCCGGGATGGACTACTCGCCGGCCGCCAGAAAGCCCCCCATCCACAACTGAATCTAGCGCGAGCACACACGGATCGATCCATCGATAATATTGGCGAGGAGTACGTAGATTACCAGTACGCGGCTACTGGTTTATTAGTTTTGTCTTAGCTATTAGCTATGCTACGATCCTGATGGAGTAGAATAGTGCGGTACAGCTAATTATTAATCAAGTGGTGACTGATACTACGATACTACGGGACAGAGACAGCGTCGCCGGAATCGCTGCGCCTTTTGTGAAGACTCAAGACGATCGTCCTACTGGCAGTACACACCAAAACTTGGCGTTTCCCTCTCGAGTTTCCCGCGATTTGTAGTAACATGCATGCATGCATGCCCGTGTATGTATGTAAAATAGCACCGCCGTTTGACCTCTAGTTATATACTCCATCCGTTCCTATATATATATATATGTCTTTTTAGAGTTTCAGATGGACGATCACATACGGATGTATATAGACATATTTTAGAGTGTAGATTTATTTATTTTGCTTCGTATGTAGTCACTCATTCAAATCTCTACAAAGACAAATATTTAGGAACGGAGGGAGTAGTAGTATAGCTTTGCCGTGAGAATGTGAGATCGACGCCGGACGATTACGTTTATGTCCATGTGACACATCGAAGAGATTGATTAATATTAGTGGAGTATGTTCCACTTAACGAGCTACTCCTACTAGTCCATTTGCGTTGCGAGATGGTCGGTGGGGGATAGATTAATGGAGTATGTTCCACTTAACGGGCAGGCTAGCTGGTTTGACAAATTAGTTAAGAGCTGGTCGATGGGTGAGGGACACGGCCGGCCAGGAGAGGTTCGTCACATGCAGTGTGTGCGACCTGTCCTCTACTGTGTGTGCATGAATTAGCTAGGCGGGCCGTCCTGGTGGTTAACGTTGTCGCAGCTGCGTAATGGGCGCATGTTTAGGGCATGCAGTGGCGCCGCGCCGGTACCGTGGATTCACCATGCATGCATGCATGGCCGATGGCCGGACCGGCACGCGTTGCTGTCGTGCGCGCGCGACGGGCGCGCCGTCACTTTCCGGCGAGGGCAGAGCGCGACTGAGCCTCGACAGGAGGTGGGCAGGCAGCGTCCGTGCACATGGGCGTGTTCCTGCGCCGCTGCACGGAGCCGAGATGGCGATCGATGTGGGCTACGGCGTGGGATAGATCGATAAGCGCGCGTAGTCGCATGCATGGCACCGGCACTGCATCGACGGTGGACTCGGTCGAACGCCGGGTGCGGCGCCGGCCGGCCGGCAGGCTTGACTTGTTTTGCACTCAACGGAGCTAAGGCACCGTTATGGTGCTTGTCAGAATGTCAACCTTGTCATGCATGCATGCATGTCGATCAGCGTACGCGCCGGCCGGCGCCATGCCCATCCGTGCATGACTCTGACTCCATTAATGGTGGTCGTCTACTCGTCAAGCGTTGGAACTTGGAGGCCACGCCCATGTAAATAATCATATGCATAAAGAATGGGTTGAGGTAAACGGCACAGAGCATGTATACACTGATGCACGTACTGCAGTCGATCGGGTCTTACCACTGTGAAGTTTCTGAATCGTGATGTCCACGTTCACTTCTCCTCCGACGGACAGAGGGAGTGGTTGTGCCTTCACTTCTCTTCTCTTTTTTTGCGAGGTAATACGTTTCTCATTCATAAAATAAAGATCCGGTTACAAGACACGTAATCACCGACTTTACAGTACTGCAAGGATTGGATAATCCTACACAAAAAACCAGCGCATGTTCCTCTCCTTCGGCATCACCGAAGCGACCATCAAGAGAGAGAAGACAAATCACCTCTTCACCCAAGCTCGACGTAGCTCCATCGCTGATCTGCAGCTTTACGGACCTCCAAAGTAGTTTGCCAAAAACAAAACCATTGCCGTTGAAAGAATCAGACCAGGGCAACGTGTCCCCGGACACGCCATCAAACTCCAGACCTGACATCCCCGCACGACTACAACGTCGGAGGAGAAAACCAGAGCTGTCAGCCTCCAACCACACACCCAGCACAGGATGCATCATCTTCCAGCTGTCAACTGCGCAGGCCGCCGTCTGCGCGTACTCCCGGACGACAAAACCTCCCTGCTCCACCATGATGTCGGAGACAACGCCACAACAACGGGGACAGAGCAGAAAGAGAGACACACCTGATGGAGTCGCCACCACCGCCTCGTCGACACCATCCATGAACCCTAACTTCGCCGATCTGAAGGATCGGCAAACACACGATGCCATCAACTCCGAGACGTCGCCATGAAGGACACCGCCGGTATGGGAGTGGAGCTGAGGCAGATTTATTCGTTCAGACGTCGCACCCACCACCCCAACGGCGCACCACGACATACAAAA